TGTTCGTTTATATCCCTGCAAAGTCTGGGCGATGTGGCTTGACATCTCGGTTAAGCCCGGGCACTTGTTTTCACGCTAATACAAAATTGCAAAACACTTAAAATTGGATTTAAGGGTCTATTGTTTGCTCAAAGGTCCCATATTTTTATATAAATGGAAAGAGCTCAAAAAATGCAATTTTTTGGTATATATAACTTTGTGATCGGACGAAAATTGTTGCCAGGGCGAAACTTTAGAGTGATTCCATATCTAGGGAGCACAAGATTTTTTTTGGTGTCACCGATCTGGCCCAAAACTTTACCACATGTACCCCTAGGGTAAAGAAAGATGCCCACAAATTTTGAAGGTCCTAGGTCGACCCAGTCTGGAGCAGTGGGCCTTAGTGTGTTTTGCGACTTTTTGGTAAAAGTCAACTTTGAAGGTACCAATCGATGGGAAGGGCTTGACCTAGGGACTTGAACATTTTACCAGGTCTTAGAGGGTATGAGGACAACATTTTAGAATTTTTTCAAGAATTTTGAAAACTTTAACTTTTTGAAAAAAGTTGAACTTTAATTTTTTTTCTCTAGATCTCAAAAACATATTTTTGAAAAAAAATGAAAAAAATTGAGAAAGTGCCTTTCCTTGGTCCTAGTAACTGTACAAAATTTCAGCCTGGGCACAGACTTGGTTTGGGAGCTATGGAAGAAAGCGACAAATTTCACTCCCTAGTCTGAAGGACTTTAGCGGAGATATGACTCATTTGTAGCCTGGGTATATAAGAATGGGATAAGCTATGATCCCAAGATGGACATAGTGATCTGATGAAAATCTTCTACTTCCTTACTTGTGTTTTGAGTGGTTTCAGCCTGTCAGGATTATGTTTCGAAGAGCCAAGTCATTGTAAGTTCATTTCACAGGTGGAATCGTAATCAAACCGTCTCTCTAATTTGCCCCTGATTTGGCTCTTCGAAACATAATCCTGACAGGCTGAAACCACTCAAAACACAAGTAAGGAAGTAGAAGATATTCATCAGATCACTATGTCTATCTTGGGATCATAGCTTATCCCATCCTTATATACCCAGGCTACAAATGAGTCATTTCTCCGCTAAAGTCCTTCAGACTACGGAGTGAAATTTGTCGCTTTCTTCCATAGCTCCCAAACCAAGTCTGTGCCCAGGCTGAAATTTTGTACAGTTACTAGGACCAAGAAAAGGCACTTTCTCAAATTTTTTCAATTTTTTTCAAAAATATGTTTTTGAGATCTAGAGAAAAAAATTAAAGTTCAACTTTTTTCAAAAAGTAAAAGTTTTTCAAAATTCTTGAAAAAATTCTTAAATGTTTTCCTCATGCCCTCTAAGACATGGTAAAATTTTCAAGTCCCTAGGTCAAGCCCTTCCCATCGATTGGTACCTTCAAAGTTGACTTTTACCAAAACGTCGCAAAACACACTAAGGCCCACTGCTCCGGACTGGGTCGACCTAGGACCTTCAAAATTTGTGGGCATCTTTCTTTACCCTAGGGGTACATGTGGTAAAGTTTTGGGCCAGATCGGTGACACCAAAAAAAATCTTGTGCTCCCTAGATATGGAATCACTTTCTACACATTTCAGCAAAAGCTCAAAAACACTAAAAAGTTATCTTTACGAGAATATGTATTGCCTGTGGATCCAATATGATCATACTGTTTGAAAGACCAAAAAAAATGCAAAATTTTGGTATTTAAAGTTTTGTGATTGGACAAAAACTCGAATTGTTGCAAAATAAGTTACAAGCAAAGCGAAGGAAAGCCCTTGTTCGGCAGGAGATGGCCCGACGAACGCTTACACTTTCTTCTATAATTAACAACAAATCGAGTTTTTGTCCAATCACAAAACTTTAAATACCAAAATTTTGTGTTTTTTGGCCCGTCCCGTTCATTTTTTTGTAAAAAAATGACGGAGGGACGGGCATATAGTATGATCCCTGCTGTGCGTCCGTCCGTCCGTCCGTTCGTCCGAGGACTTCCCGTGGTCCGATCTTGACCAAATTTGGTATGCAGCCTCCTTGGGTGACCCTAAGAACCGCCCGGTGGCAGCAAATCCGATCCGAGCCCCGGGGGCGCTGCTGCAGGTGCATCATGGTCTACATGGGGTCGAGAAGGATCTCGGCAACGGATGCAGCTAGGAGGGCATGTAGGGTTATTTTTGGAACCGGGGCGACGAGAAAAAAACAATGGTGCCAGTTTCGAGCGAATCGGAGAAGTTCGGACCCGGGTTCAAATCCCAGCGGGGTATTTTTTGAACATTCTTTTTATTCGAGTTTTTGCATTGTTTCTGATGTTTTTAAGGGTGCTGATGACGAAAATGACATTAATTTTAACCCCAGATTTAGGTTTTAATTCCGTTGGGGTCAAACATGGGTGAAATTCGTACGTATCTTACTGTACGGGACGGGCCAAAGTTGCCGATGTATATCGCTACTTTTCCTGTTATTTAGATCTTTCGAACAGTATGATCATATTGGATCCACAGGCAATAAACATTCTCGTAAAGATCACTTTTTAGTGTTTTTGAGCTTTCGCTGGAATGTGTAAAGTTTCGCCCTGGCAACAATTTTCGTCCGGTCACAAAGTTTTTGGCTGAGCGATAGCGAAGCCTGTTACTCCAGTGCGGTTGAAAAGTTTTGTCTGTCTGTCCGTCTGTCTGTCAGTCTGTGTGTAAACACTACTCCTCCTGAACGGCTCGGCTGATCTGGCTGAGATTTTGCAGGCTTATTAGGTATATTCTTGGCTCGGCACACGCGAAATTTCACTATCCTAGCTCAACTTGTTCAGTTTTTATAGCCGAAAAACACCTCAAAAACGGCGAAAAATCGAGTTTTCTGCAGGTAGATCACCTCTGTCTTGAAGAAAGGGGGGTCTGGGGGGGCGGAGCCCCCCAGCCCCTACAAGTTAAAAAGTTACAAGGGTCAAGAACGTGTTATCTGTAAATGAAGCAACTCTTTCTAGAATTAAGGGGGGTCTGGGGGGCGGAGCCCCCGAGCATGCAACACGTAAGAAGTAACCGACGATGGACAAGCCAATGCCTGCCGAAGGCAGGCTAGCGCCGCAGGCCAAGGTAGGTACGCCAGGCGCGGATTGGAGGAACAGGCCGCGAGACATCGCGAAGCCTGTTACGACAAGACGCGGTCTGGCGTAAACCTACCTTGTCAAATATGGTCAACTGCAAAGAAAACCATACGCCGTTTAATTCTGGGATTTTCGACCCACCCTAGTATTAGAGTGGTCCCCTTTTTTTAAAAGTTTCAAAAATTTAGGCGCGCCGTCCAGATTCTGAAAGTAGGTGTAAAATCATGAATTTTGATACAAATATGATAAGATTTGGATCATTCTCAGGGGTCCATCAACGCGCCTGAACTTTAAAGAAAAATTGAAAATGTACCGGTTCACTAAAATCGATACTGTTTCGAGAGTCTTTGTCCGATTTTCGATTGCAAAACGGCGATCTTTTCGGGAAAGTGCCTTCTAATTGATGATGTACATATCATGACGATCCGACGCATTGCCTATTTTCCAGGGGCGTATAATCCCGTTTGGAGCCCCTAATTCCAAGATGTTCCTGCGCTTCGAAGGTGTTTGAGTCGTCCGATCGGATAGTTTGAGTCACCGTTCGACGCGCCTGATCAATACCTTTCGAAAAATGTCTCAGGTGTCAAAATCGGTTGGTGTGCCTACCGTACAGGTGCAAAAAACCACTAAAACGCGCTAAAAATTGCCTTTTTGTGACACAAAATATCTTGTTTGGTATCGTGTCAGATTTCTTGTGATGCCATTTGACGCGCCCAGTCAAAAACTTTCGAGTATCGTCTCAGGCGAACAAATCCGGTGTGTTGTCGACCCTACAAGCAAAAAATGTCGAATGTCGAAAAATTGGTCTGTGGGATAGGCAACCTACCGGATTCAGACGCCCGAAACGGTAATTGAAAGTTTTTGACCCGGCGCGTCAAATGGCACCACAAGAAATCTGACACGATGCCCAAAGAGATTTTTTGTATCGCAAAAGTGCAATTTTTAAGCGAATTTTAGTGGTTTTTTGCTCCTGTACAGTAGGCAAACCAACCGATTTTGACGCCTGAGACATTTTTCGAAAGGTTTTGATCAGGCGCGTCGATTGGTGACCCAAACAATTCGATCGGACGACTCCAACACCTTCGAAACGCAGGAACATGTTGGATTTAGGGACTAAAAACGGGATTAAACGCCCCTGGAAAGAAGGCAATGCGTCGGATCGTCATAGTATGTACATCATCAATTAGAAGGCACTTTCCCGAAAAGATCGCCGTTTTGCAATCGAAAATCGGACAAGACCTCTCGAAACAGCATCGATTTTAGTAAACTAGTACATTTTCAATTTTTCTTTAAAGTTCAGGCGCGTTGATGGACCCCTAAGAATGATCCAAATCTTATCATATTTGTATCAAAATTCATGATTTTACACCTACTTTCAGAATCTGGACGGCGCTCCTCAATTTTTGAAACCTTTAAAAAAAGTGGACCACCCTACCTAGTATGCACTCTAAATGTCTTACAATGAGATTTCACCTATATGTTATTCGTGAATTCGGTTCAAGCATAAAACGAAGGAATATTCCTTCGTAATACGAATCTTAAGGGCTTTTTCATTGTAAGATACAAAGAAAAACCTTCGTTATTATACGTATACGTATTATACGAAGAAAAACCACCTTCGTAGTATGCTTGCGCCATTTTCTTCGTATAATGGGAAATTTCTTTGTAAGACATTTCAAGTGTAGTGAATTACAGAATCGCAAGCATGGTTAGATAAACTATCGGTCTGCGTATACTTTTGTGTATTCGAAAACGAGCTCCATGAAGCTCTCATTACTTGGCCAACCCAAATTGCCAGAGAAGGTTCAAAATACAACCAATCGACGCGGCAATGTGGATTGGCCAACCTTAGGGAGGTGCTCCATGAGCAATGTTAAACTTCGTTGTGCATTTTCAGATTCGTTCATACCGGGTGTGCTTTCTTTGGCTTCCTGCTTTGCATGTTGGGTAGAGGGAATAAATCCTTGAACTGAAATAAAAAACAATAATTGTTTTAAATGCGGTTAACAAAGATGCTGTCTATTTGGCTTTCGCTTACACTGTCAAAAGGATCAGATGTAATTTTCATAACTTTGGTTGGCATTTTTTTTACAAACAATTGTTATGAAAATTTAAATCACAAATGATTGTAAATTGTACTAAAATCACGTTATGAAAATTCATATCATGTCATTTAAATTAATATTCGCGTTACCGAGGTCATTTTAGGGTAGTTAAGCAAAAGGACAACTTGGTGTTTATGTATATGAACACCTGTCCGGCCTTTTGCCATTTTATGAACTGATTCTCCTTTTGATCAGCGGGTTTCGAACCGGTGAACTTGAACTTGTGGTACACGCTCTCTACTGCTGTGCCGCCACGTCCTACAGGAGACGATGGGTGTGCTGCCTGATGACCTTACAAGTGCTCTTAGCCACGCCTCTTGAGACAGTTATGAAATTTACTAGCCAGAGGAAGGCTTTCGGCCTCGCTGCTGAGCTGGATTCTGCTGGAGATGGAAATGCATTTTCACGACTTACAAATTAGGAAGTATTTAATTTGAAAAAAGGTCTCTTTTCTGGGAGGTAGTATCCAGGAAGTATGCATTCGCGCGAAGGATTGTCATTCGCACTGTTAATGATGAATGAAATTTAATGACATTATTTGTGACATTGCTTTTCATTAAACGTCATTATTTTTAATTACATCTCCACATTCATTACATTGTAATGAAAATTTCATTACCTCGGTCATAAAGTTTAATGACATTAGCCATGTAATGAAAGTTTCATTACATCACGCAGCTTATCATAAAATTTTCATTACATGTCTTTAAATTTTTAAAAAATATTCAAGCATTACTGAATTTTTGTTGGATATGTCCAGGCTCTGAGTTAAGCTTACCCAAACTAATTTAGCCTTCTATTGGCCGCCAATATCAATGTTTTGCGTACAATCGTCCATTACGGCGTCATATGCCAAACATATGCAAGTCTGCCGCTAGGTGTCGCATGGTACACGGGGATAACTCTTAAATCCGTATTTTGTGTTCAAATAATAAAAGGTGAGGAGATACACTGGAATTTATCCGTGTTTCATGTGAAGTGCTGGATTGTTAAACTAATAGCAAATAGTTTGGCGGAAAGAGCGATATTTGAAGTGACCAAATAGGTTTTTCTGATGTTGCTCGAAGGCGTCAGAGTAGACCGTCCCTTATTTTTTCAAATTGAACCGAGACAAAAGTTCGTGGTGCCAAATTGTTCAATTTGGTGAGAAAACACACTGGTGTAAATGCCATCAGGATTTTCTGATTGAATTTCTGATTTCCAATCAGAAATCAGGATTTTCCTGATTGATTTTCTGATTTCTGATTGTCAATCAGGAATTCTTTCTGATTTCTGATTGTCAATCAGAAAAAATCCTGGTTGAGCACCGACATCAGAAATTTCCTGATTTCTGACGTCTGAGTGCCAATCAGAAATTTCCTGATATTGATTCTGATTGGCAATCAGACAATTTCTGACTGCTTTCTGATTGCCGATTGCCACTCAGAAATCAGAAAAGAACATCAGGAAATTTTGATGGTGTCAAAGTACAGATGCCTATAAAATGGAAAGTATTTGCGGTATCGGGTTCAAATTTGGTATGTGACATGTTCAGCCGATTTGACTAGGGCCATTTTAATTTCATAGACATCGGATCACCTTTAGTAGCATATCGAGGCCTGATCACGAGCTATCGAAAATCGGACTTCAGATTTGGATCGGACTCAGTTTTGACCCCCCAGAGCAGTTATCATCAATTTTGAATGTGCCCCGACACGGTCATATTACCGATGTTTGAAGTTGTCTTACCAATCAGAGCTGTCCACTCAGAAAAAAACACAATCAGAACTGGTACCAATCAGAAATCATCAATCAGAGGTGCGCGAAAATACATCAGGATTTTCCAATCAGAAAATGTTCTGATTGACCAATCAGGAATTTCCTGATTGAAATCCTGATGAATTTTACACCAGTGACCTCTGCCAAAGTTTGGTGGTGCTACGATATCGCATGGCCGAGCCTAAAGGGGCCTAAGTGCAAATTTCAAAAATCTGCCGATTTCGGAATTTAAAAGTTGTCTTCCAAGTAAACACGTCATTTTGATGCCCCCAGGCCGAAAATTTAAAGCGTTTTGCCGTATCTCGAACCGTTATGGCCGAAACGGCGCTCTGAACGCGCTCCGCCACCGCGCGGAAGGCCGCCGATCTGGACCCAACTACGACGCTTGTGGGCTGCCCCGAGCCGCCCCGGAGGGCAGTGGATCGCTGCGTCGCAGTCAGCACCTTCTCAAAACATGTTTTTGACTACTTTCATAGTAATTGATAGGTTATATTTCAATACATATGTGGTATAGACCAAATTTTACACCAAAACACTCGAAAAATGCTAAAATGGCTAAATTTGACACTTTGAGGGCATATTTCAGCATTTTCCTATTGAGTAAACCCACTAACCACATTGGAATTTTCAGAGATAGTTCAGACTCGCGCTGCTCGCTGGGGGCTCCGCCCCCAGACCCCCGCATGTGTGGGGCGCGTGCCGAAGTACTTTCAGTAAGTCCGTGGTGACTAAAGGCAAATTTTCTAAGGAAGTAAATGTACTGCTTCTTTGAAAGATCTATTTAACAGCTTTTGACCATATAATTAAGCTACTTGGGGGCAGAGACAACTAATCTTGAACTATCCTGAATGGAAGTTAGCTCGAAAGCTGATCCAACGTATTGTCAAAACATCCAAATTCGGATAAGTCACTTCCTTCGCCCCACCTCGTTATTGAAATTCCTAGGGGCGAAGCAAGAGGGTCGACCTTTACAAATTCAGGATGTTTGGATGTCGCATGTCGACTCTTATGTTTAAACGGTAATTACAGGGGTATAGGCAGCAACACTACACTCTCATTCCAGAGACATGACATCACATTGAAACGAATGTGACAAAATGTCACGTTCATTTGAGCATTGTGTCACATTTGTTTGAATGAGAATAGGCTAATTTTCTGGCCGTGACATTTTGTCACGTTCCTTTCAACGTGATGTCACGTTTCTGGGCAACGGGCCACCCCAACGGGCCATCCGCCCCTGGTAATCTGAATAACGGGGTGCGTCAATGGGGGTGGCATTTCCGAATTCGAGATGCTTGGATGTCGCATGTTGATTCTTATGTTTACAGGGGTGTAGGTAACTACACCAGCTTTACTTTTTGCAATGGGCCAAAGACGTTCACATTTTGGGGCTTTTGGATCATCTATTTGCACATTTCAGACGTCCGAACACGCTGGAACACGTCCGAACAGGTTTGGACACGTTCAAACACGTTCGAACAAGACGAAGCAACATAAATCAGATGCGGAGAGGCGCTGAAGCCGATTTGGCAGCAAAAACACATAACCGTCAAAAAAACAATTATTTTAGAAAAATGCTAATATTTTCAAAAATTGATGCAAAAAAAATTGAGCTTGAGTGCGGTTGAACGGTCGGTTGCCCGTTGTAGCTACAGCATCCACCTACCAATCCCAGTTGAAATGGCCGGGGGGTAAAGGGGGGTAACGTAACTTTTCCTCCAATTTATGTCGAATTTGGGCATTTTGGGCAACATTTTGCATAGAAGCGTTGTCTGTAGAACTTTAAGACGGACGAAGTTCGGATCTGGTTCACTCAAAGCGCTTTTCTATACAGTATTAATTAAAGTTCCGTGCTGGCATGCGGGTTTCCTGGATTGGTTTGCTGCATCCAAACTGGAAGGAAGCGATAAACGGCGACGCGTACCGATAACACGTTCGAGCACGTTTGAACACGGTCGAACCCGTTGGAACACGTTCGAGCACGTTGAGACACGTCCCGACAAGCTCAGGCGTGTTCGAACACACGTTTGAACTAACTCATTTGGACACATTCAGACGTTCGAACACGTTTGAACACGTCCGAACAGGTTTGGACACGTTCGAACACGTTCAAACACGTTCAAACAAGACTTTGTACTCTCGAAGCAACATTAATCATTAACATTAATGGCGCTGAAGCCGAATGGCAGCAAAAAAAACATAACTGTCAAAAACCAATTATTTTTAGAAATGCTTATAATTTTAAAAGTCGATGCACAAAAAATTGCGGCTGAGTGCGGTTGAACGGCCGGTTGCCCGTAGTAGCTACAGCATCCACCTACCAATCCAAGTTGAAATGGTCGGGGGGTAAAGGGGGCTAACAGAACTTTTCCTCCAATTTATGTCGTATTTGGGCATTTTAGGCAATATTTTACTTCGAAGTGTTGTCTGCAGAACCCTTAGACGGACGAAGTTCGGGTCTGGTTCACTCACTGCACTTTTAAATACAGTATTAATTTAAGTTCCGTGCTGGGATGCAGGTTACCTGGATTGGTTTGCATACAAACTGGGGGGAAGCGATAATGTGCGATTTACCCCAAATCATGAAAATATAGATACAAATTCTGACTTTGCGGCCCTCCCATTCAAATACAATGCGTCCTATCGCCAAACCGACGCTTGATCTGAGTTCAGTGGACATTTTGGAGTGGACGACCGGTTTTAGATGGGTTCCGAAGTCACTTTAAAATTTGACCCAATGATGACGAAAATAGGGGTTCTGACGTCCGATCGACGCCATTCTGGGCTTCAAATGCTTCTTTTTGTAGGGTCTTGACACAGGAAAAGTTTGAACAACGCTCAACAACGCGTATGGAGGTAAACGCAAAAGTAAGTTATTGGCCAGTAGTAAAGGTGGCCCATTTTAACGGGCCGCCATCTTGGTGGCCCATTTTAACGGGCACGCCATCTTGGCCCCCCATTGTAACGGGTCCGCCATCTTAAATTTTTTTCGGTGAAAATTTTTTTGGTGAAAATTTTTTGGTGGAATTTTTTATGGTCGCCTACTTTGGCGAGGGTAACCTAACCTAAGTCACCCGAAGGGCGCAAGTCACCCGAAGGGCCTAAGTCGCAACATGGATCCGCCCCTTGGTGGGACATTGAATTCTGAAGCAGGTCTGTACCTGTCGGCCGCCGCGGTCGCACCTGGCGCATGACACGGAGGCACGCACGCGAGTGCGGTCCGCCGCCTCGTTTTGAATGCTGCCGCGCCGCAAGCGCTGCCAGCGCGCTCTGACGGCCCGGTACGGAAACTCCGCCTCTGCGCATGCGCGCAGTGCGCAGCAGTTCTGTCTGCTAGCGGCAGTCAGCCGACTCTATTTTACTTTCTCTAGTTTTATTTTTCAGTTGTCTCATGACTGACGCACTCATTTTCTATCATTCCTATTTTATGTTTCACCTCGCACATTTTATGTCATGCCATGTATCTGTTTTAAATCTGAAATACGCGACGATCGGCAGCGCCGTGGGTAATTCCACGCCAACTTGAACACTCATAAACCTGACGGCGTCCGATTTCAACCAAAATTGGTGAATCGCCACCAATTAGTGTCTAGAATGACCCCCTACAATGGTTTTGGCCAATAGCCAATAGTTCCGGAGATATAGCACTTCACCATTTTTGGCCATTTTCCAAGTTACAGAAACAGTGTTTCACTTAAGTGCCATTATCTCAGCTCCTATTGTACTTACAGGTCTGATTCTGTGCTCATTGGAAAGGGAATGAAATTTTGCATCAAAATGAGGTACTCTTAGGTTGATAGGGCAAAAACTCAAATAAATGTCTTTTTTGATTAAATGTTTAACCTGAAAATGTCGTTTCCAAAATACGTCATCCTAAAAAAAAAAAAATTTTTCACCAAAAGGTCTCCTAAGGTGTCTACTTTAATGTCCTAAAGTGCTTCAAAAAGTATTTGAGTTTTGCAGTATTTGCAGGGGAAACCGTGATGAAATGTGCCCAAAAAGTGCACTATTTTCACTCTTCGCCCAGCCTACGATGGTCCTGTTGCAGTCCCACTCCTTCACCACCCTCAAAACTGTTACTTCTATGCCCAGCATCGATTGGTATGTATCAAAGTAATTGTTTGAGTAAGTCTGAGCGCTCAGGTAAGGGGTCAGATCAAAGTCCAGCTTAGAACTTTGCGTAACAAGACATCAAATCGACTACTGAGTAACTCCACCCCAAGGAGGACCGAGATCTGGGATTGGGTCACGGATTCGGTTCAAACTTTGTGGGTTCAATAGGTACCACTAGTACCTATCAACCCTAGTGATTGATTCTAATGCCGGAAAATTTCCGGGGAAAAATGCAGAAAATTTCCGAAAATTTTCGTATTTTTCCAAGAGCCCCGGAAAAGATGGTAAAATTCAAAAAATGCGCATTTAGCATGTTAATGAAGTCACATGACAAAATCGTTGAATTCCTGTTATTTTTGAACACAAAAGTCAGTCGCAGTGACTTGGTTACATTGTTTTTCGTGGCTTTCGTGGTTGTGGTCGTCTGCTGAAGCTTCTAGAAGGCAGTGAGGGGGATGGACACAAACGTGAGTGGAACGGGACACTGTAAAAAAAATTATAGTCAAATTCCGATACATGTATATGAAGCTATTTACATATACACGTATAGGAATTTTACCATGCACTCGTATGGTAATTTTCCTATACATCGGTACGGCATTATGGCTATACATGTAATAGGCGTTCTCCCATCCGTTGTGTTGGATTTTTCCTATACATCGGAATGGCGCAACTGCGATGCATGTATAGGATTTCGGCCAAAATATGCAAACAAGGCAGGTTGAACCGGATGAACTGTCCGTTGTTCAAGACAACGGCTGCCTTTTCCGCCATAATAGACCATCGAGTCTGGATCATTAGTGATCCTTATTGAACACCCAAGAGCACCACAGCAAAAACGATGTAAGAGTTAAAAAGACTTCAACTTTCTTACAACATGATGGGTCGAGAGCCCCCTGACCCAACCTAATTCCTAGCCGCAGCGTACACCGAGAAGTAAGTCCGTCAAAACGACACTAGCGCCATCTAGCGGATAATCCGGTCAGCGGGCAAACGAGCAGCTTTTGTGAATTTTGTACGTTGTTAACACATAATCGTATTGATTACCAGTGTTTTAACACAAAACAACAATTGGAATCGCTGATAATAAGGTTGATGACAAATTATTTTTTTCAGTTCGCCATATTCCTATACACGGATCGCAAAATCCTATACATGTATAGGACTTACTCAAATTCCGATACGTGTATATGAATATTCCTGTACATTTTGAGCCCATATAGCATAAAACCTATACAAATCGGAATATTCCTATACATGTATCGGGATCTTAGTAATTCCTATACAATGTATAGGAATTTTCCTAGACCACTGCATGGTACAATTCCGAACATTTTTTACAGTGTATAAGAGCAGTTCTCGCGAAATGTGATAATTTCGTGTCCTCTCTCTGGTTCTTCCAACCTGAAGTCGATTTTAACCGGGTCTTTTCCTACCTTAATGTTTTTTGACCTTGCGGACAAGGTACAATTCTTATCAGGATGAAATTTTGCCTCCTTCCACCATTAAATTGCAAGTTTTACCCCAGAATGTAATTTCCGTGGACACTTTTTGATGTCCTACGCTCCAGATTTGGGGCTTCGCGCCTCTACTACAGCCCAAGGGAGTATAAGAAATCACTTTCGCGAAGTGCATTTTGTTTTACGCAAGTGAGGCTACGTTTTGACGTGTAGAACGTATCTCTCGGGTAAAATTTGCAGACACAAGATGACTCCGAAAATTGTCCTCCACAACTAAAATTCGAAAAGTCTAAAATCGGTATTTTTGAGACGGTTTTTCTACCTTATGTGCGATCGTTCTGAGACTTTTCTCATATTGTTGGTGCATTCGTTCATCACAATTTGCAAAGTGGCGGAGTAATGTGGCACTATTAGAACGGAAAATATAAACTTAAATAAGTTTCAAAGCGGCGAAAAAATTGGCCTAGCAAGCAATTAGTGTAATTTCCGTTCCACCCATTGCTAGCAGACCATTCAAAATTTTGATTGCGAACCAATCCTTGTGTGTTTGCCTTGTGGACAAGTTGCTCCAGTAAAATTTTCGTTCCGGTGGCACTTTTGGTTTGGCTTGTAAACCTCTTTTCATGCAATAATGTAATTTCCGTGGACTGTAATTTCCGTGGACAGAATGGGGTTTGCGTTGCGTTTCACGTGATTTTCGCCTCGTAAGGGGCCTCAGCTCTAAAGTATGTCGATATTTTTCTGTTTTAAACCTCTCTTATGGAGGGAATGCCATTCTTATGGCCTAACCCAAGAAAGCATGCACTGATTATAGGTCACTGGCCAATCATAGGTGCGTTTACTTGAAGAAAAGTTGATCGGCAGGTCGATCGAGCGGCCCACTGCTCGCGCCGCGGTATTTTTAGCCGTCTCAAATGCAAACTTAGGCATTTCAGGCACAAAAGTTAACAACCTATACATTTTCTAAAAGGGGAAATGGTTTCTGTAATCCATTTGACGTTTTGGGTCTTAGCACCCGAATGGCAAGCTGAGAAAAGTCGTGGCGTAGTTTAGCACAACATCCATCTGGTTAAACCCGTCACAAGTCACAAAATGGACCCAAACGAGCAGCGACCTGACTTTTTGCAAGAGTCTAAGCTTTCGACTCCACTCATCAGATTGGTCAAACAATGTATTTTCTGGACAACCAAGCGGTTTTAGGCTGCTTTGTTCGGCGCGGCCGGCATACTGCCATGACAGTTCTGACTGCGAGTCAGTGAAACCGTTCAACGTTGATTATTCAGATCGGAAAGCTTAACCGAAAGCTTCGAGTCTTGCGAAAAATAGGCTCGCTGTATATTGGGGTCTAGCTAACCAGACAATTTAAGACTTGCGGTGGACTTAAGGGGGGACATCACTCCAAAATAATCAAAAATTGCAACTTTTTTTTATTAGTTTATACTATAGACCATTCTTTTCTGAGTCGAATGGCGAAAACCGCATTCCAAAATTCAAAAAATTGCAGTTTTAGGAGGTTGTGGGCCGCAAACATGCATAGGGGAAAAGCCCAGTTTCCCCAACTTTGATCGCGTTTTTCTCGGAACATAAAATTGCAAACGGTTGCAGTCCTCTAGTTTTTTGAGTTTTGAGAACAGTTTTTGAGCTACAGCGGGGAGATTTAGCATGGAAGCTCCTACGACATGCCGCTATGGTGGGTATCAAAATAATTTGCACTGGTCAATTTTTATTATTTATTAAACGTTCGTAATCAAACAATTTCGACCAAAAAAATTCAACAATTTTTTTTGGTATGTCACAAATACAACTAAAAATGTTTTTTTATATGTGATTGAGGTACCTACCATAGCCAGACATCTCAGGAAGACTGTCACAAAATTTCGTTGTTCTAGGTCAAACCGTTTGGCGTCCAGCGCTGCAACCGTGCGAAATGGACTAACCTAACACTCAAAAATGCGTTTTCAACGAAAGCGCTGTACTGCCCTGGCGGATTGACTTAGTGTTGTTTTGTACTTTATCTGTTAAAATATGAACAATTTTTCCCTTTCCGTTTGGTTTTTGTAACGTTTTTACAAAAGCACTGTTTTTGGAGTGATGTCCCCCCTTAACCTGACCGATATGTTAAGCAACATGACGTCTTTCCTAAGCTTGCCGTTCGAATGCTAAGACCCAGTTTATCGAATAAATTACAGCAATCTGTTCCTCAAACTTTACTCTTTCCGAAAATATGCGTTAGTAAACGTTGGTGCCATATATGCT